GCTTGAAAAGATCAGAATTCGATCTGACTTTAATAAAATTTTGATGGTTCACAAATTCTTCTGCCATCTGTAGCCTGTAAATATTTCAAGTTGTCCTTTGCTCCAAAACATAAGTCAGTAATTTTTCTGCGAAGTCTGTTGTTGCGTGAAAACGCTTATTTTTAGTCCAACTGCATATGTTAGATATCGACACCCTGTATATTTAAAAAATACAATCGGATTTCTTGTACAATTTTGTTGGGCTGCCGTACAATAATCAGTGAGGTACCCTGGCAACTGTAAGTGTCACACGGGTTAAATTTATGGGTTAAATAAATCCACAATAAATCAAAACGTTGTTTAAAGCTAGAAAGTTCAAAAAATAAGTATTAGCAAAGGTAAGTTTTAGAAAGTAAAAGGGAACTAAGAAAAAGCTGGTAAATCTAGTAATGTATAAGGCTTTAGTTGCTAATAGTTACTGCTGATAATTACATTAAAATGAGCCAACATAGAAAGTTTCACTGGTAAACACTTAAGTAGCAGACAATTTAAAGCGCCCTGATTCCATTTAGCGCCTTAATTCATACATGATCAGGAATGGGATCATTTTCATTCGGTCATTTAAGGCGTTTGCCCTCCGACCCCCAAGTGGTTCAGTTCAAAGTACAACTTAAGTCTGCTATAATCATGCAAACTAATTACGGTGCCCGAATGAAAGCATTATTCTGGTTGAAATTATTTAAACATGAAGCATTTTCCCTTTGGTTGTTGCTACCGGAACATATCAAGCTCAGTCATCGTACCAAATAATGCAAACTAGCTAGTAAGAGATTAAGTTGTAAACTAATTAAAGTCAGTTGTTAACAGATACATAGTTAGCCTTTGATCCCCCAAAGGAAAAGTGCGTTATGCTTAAAAAGACAATAATTTAAAAAACCAGAAAAGGCTGATATCATGCAAGCTCAACCAGAATCAGCCAGATTTTTTCATTTTTGCCAAAGCCAGCCAATTGTGAAGATTATTTAAATATTTTCATGATCTTTACCCATCACAGTTTATCTCAATAAAAAAAACACGCACCTGATTGTGACGTGGTCCATCTTTTATCTATTTTGTGTATGTTTAACACTGCATTATTCTGCGCTCATTGCGTCAACTGGTGATTTTTTCGGACTTTTAGGCCGTCGTGGAAAAGGTAGAAACTCTTTTCCCTGACCGCCTACAAGCCCGAAAAATTCATCAGTTTAAAACAGATTATGTTGTCCAGTTAAAATGGCAGATCTGAGATTCGATGGTCGAGTGGTGATAGTGACCGGAGCTGGAGCGGGCATTGGAAGAACCTACGCGCTTTTATTTGCATCCAGAGGGGCCAAAGTGGTGGTCAATGATCTGGGAGGAGGACGACATGGAGATGGCAGCTCCTCTAAAGCTGCTGATAATGTGGTTGACGAAATCAGAAGAACCGGTTAGAACAGCTCTGGTTAAACTTGATGTGATGTTTCGATGATGAATTTTCGTTTTACTAGGAGGAATAGCTGTTCCCAATTATAATTCGGTAACCGATGGCGAACAGTTGGTGAAATCCGCCCTAGATAACTTTGGACGCATTGATATTCTAGTGAATAATGCGGGAATTTTACGAGACAAGAGCTTTGCAAAATTATCTGATCAAGACTGGGGTAAGAGCTGTTTTTACATAACAGCAATGGATTTGGAATGTTTATTTGCTGCTAGATCTGGTTCATCAAGTCCATCTGAAAGGAAGCTTCAAAACCACTCAAGCAGCCTTTCCACACATGAAAAAGCAGGGATTTGGACGAATCATCATGACTGCTTCAAATTCGGGACTATATGGTGAGTGGTGGGTGATTTGCAAAAAATGCCATTTTTAACACCCTGTTTTAATCCGCAGGAAATTTTGGACAAGCCAATTATTCAGCAGCAAAGTTAGCATTGGTTGGTCTGGCTAAAACCATCGCTATTGAAGGCGCAAAGAGCAACGTTTTCTGCAATGTGATAGTGCCTACTGCGGCCAGCCGCCTGACTGAGGATATTTTACCTCCAGATATTTTCAATGAACTGAAACCGGAGTTCATAGCACCAGTCGTGGTATGTTTATATTTTAAATCCTTTTGTTGGTTTGTTGTAAAGTTTATGAACTTTTTATTGAGTCCGTTTCTCGGATTTGTCCAGTTAATCAAATGGCTTGCCAACAATACCGAATAATCCATTTTAGGCGTACTTATGCCATGAATCCTGCCCTGAGAATGGATCCATGATAGAAGCCGCAGCTGGTTGGGCTGGAAAATGCACCATAGTGAGATCAAACGGAGCCCTACTAAGGTCCTCAATGAATGACGGCGTAACGATCGAAAAGGTTAAAGAAAACTGGGGAAAAATCACCGATATGACCGACGCCAAGAGTCTCAGGTATTTAACAATGATCAGGCAAACATGAGGAAACTCCGTTAGCACAACACCTTCTGCGATTTTAGAGCTATCGAGGAAGCCACCGGAGCCCTGATTGAATCCCTAGATGCCATAAGAGACCCTGAGAACCAAGAAGCTCAAGCAAATGACGAACTGTTTGAGTTTAATGAAAAAGACGCTATTCTATATGCATTAGCTGGTATGCAATTCATTGAAGCTTCTACTGGGGAAAGTGTTTTCCATGAATAATGTTTCAGTGGGCGCAACGCTCTCCGATCAAAGACAGCTAAAGTTCCTGTACGAGAACCACGAAGACTTTGCCATATTGCCAACTTTTTTCATAATACCAGCTCTCCAAGCCTGCTTATCCTCAGATCTGATTTCCAGGGCTTTGCCAAAGAAGGACATCGATTTAACAAATATTTTGCACGGCGAGCAATACATTGAAGTAGGCAACGAAACGCAGCCTGTAATAATGCCCGAAATGTAAACTGTTTTGTAAACTCCCTTTTAGATCCTAGGAGATGTTCCGACAGATGGGCAACTCTCGCAAAAGCTTGAAGTAGTTGAAGTGCTCGATAAAAGCTCGGGGGCTGCAATAGTAATTAACAGTAAGCCAGTAAATTGCAGGAAGACAACTTAACAGACTCAATGTGTTTTAGTTGATTCAATCGATCGAAACAACAACGTTGTGGTCAGGAACCAGATTGTTACTTTTGCGGTGGGCGCTGGTAATTTCGGGGGCCAAAGAAATGGAACAAAGGCGGTGCCTTGCTTGAACAAACCCAGTAGAAAGCCTGATGTATCAGTGACGCAAAAAACCAGCATTGATCAAGCTGCTTTGTACAGACTCGTTGGTAACTAGTCCAGAAACTGGAACCTTTGGCGGCTATTTTTTATGAAAATGATTATTCAAGGCGACAGAAACCCGCTTCATATCGACCCTAACGTGTCCGTCCTAGCAGGATACGAAACCCCAATCTTGCACGGTTTATGCACTTTGGGCTTTTCGGCACGTCTGGTGCTTAGTGCGTTTGCTGGACATGACGCATCGCTATTCAAGGCCCTAAAGGTACGTAGAATTCCTGCCAATCTGTTCAGTAGCTAATCATTTCCTTATAGGCCAGGTTCACTAAACCGGTGGTTCCAGGCCAAACATTAAGGGTGGACATGTGGCAGGAAGGGAACCGAATTCACTTTGAGACTGTGGTTGTGGAAAACAATGCTGTAGTAATCAGCGGTAAGTAACCTTTAGTTAAAATTCTAAAACTTCTGGAATTCAAGCATTTTTTGAGAAAACTGCAACATTTCCTTATCGATGGTTCACTTTCTAAAAAGGCCATTTATTTCTCTCTAGAATGATGTACAAA